AGAAATTATCAGTTCAGAATAACACAAACTCTACAAAGATTCCTGAGGCTGTGTCTCAAACTAAAGATTCTGTGAATGCAGTAACAGAAATATCTAATTCAAACGTCACTAAGATAAATGCGTCGGACTCGAAAGCCACCATGAGACTAACCAAATCAGCCGAGAAGATCGAACAGGCTAGTTTTGTTAGTAATGTGGAGGTGGAATCAATAGATGGAAAAGACACACCAAATAAAAAATCGTTTATATCTCTTAGTGATCTTATTAAATGGTATTTGAGGCACTGGAAGAATTATTCGCAATTTAAAGATGGAAATCAGTTGGAAGGGGACCATTCTAACGCTTCATAATATGATTGATTTTGCTGAAGGCTTGAATATTATGATAATTATTTTTTTATTAATATTTCCCATTATGCCTAGCTTTGGTTTGTATCTTTTTTTCGGTGACAATTTTAGTCATGACCCTAATCTGTTCATTTTTAACTCATATTGTCATATTTTGTTTGATTTTTCTAGATTTGTAATATTGATGTTGTTCTTTTATAAAAGAAATATTTGCATTTGACCTCTGTTAGGTAATTATTTTGGTTTAACATGGATGTTGTATAACATTCCATTGCTTTTTTTCTAAATAATTTTTCCTTTGTCTTTTTTGGCGTTTTGCGCTAATTGTTTGTGATTCATTCACAGTTTTGAACCTAATGATGTGCATTAAAGTGCGTTGAAAGGGGTTATATTATTGGATAGGTTATTGTTACGGTAGCCGTAAATTGAATTAAATTTTCTATAGTTACGGCGAAGAGTTTTCTGTGCATGCTAAAAATCCTGCCGTAGCTTTAATGAGAGCTAATGTTTACAGCTTTCGTAACAATAGTCACTTCCTATTTTATTGTTTAATAATTTTTACTGTATATTTATACTTTTTGCTTATTTTTCTACTTTGCTTTTGCTTTTATTATATAATATTTTGCGATATTTTGTTTCTTGGTTAAATTTTGAGTGAATATGATAGAAGAAAAATAATTAAATTTCTAATATCATGAAAGGTGTATGCATACCGCATGATTTTTCAAATGAATTTCTTTTGTACGAATTATGATTATGGTTTTTTTTTTTAGAAGTAAAGTCACATAATTTGAATTTTTTAAACTGTTAAAGGGCCATTCTGGTTTTTGTGAAATTGTAGCGAATCTAAACGTGATAATCTTTCACTATCTACAATCTAAACGTGACAATCTTTCATTGTCTAGAATCTAAACGTGATAATCTTTCATTGTCTAGAATCTAAACGTGATAATCTTTCATTGTCTAGAATCTAAACGTGATAATCTTTCATTGTCTAGAATCTAAACGTGATAATCTTTCATTGTCTAGAATCTAAACGTGATAATCTTTCATTGTCTAGAATCTAAACGTGATAATCTTTCATTGTCTACAATCTAAACGTGATAATCTTTCATTGTTTAGGAATCTAAACGTGATAATCTTTCATTGTCTAGAATCTAAACGTGATAATCTTTCACTATCTACAATCTAAACGTGATAATCTTTCACTATCTACAATCTAAACGTGATAATCTTTCATTGTCTAAAATCTAAACGTGATAATCGGTCACTATCTACAATCTAAACGTGATAATCTTTCATTGTCTACAATCTAAACGTGATAATCTTTCACTATCTACAATCTAAACGTGATAATCTTTCACTATCTACAATCTAAACGTGATAATCTTTCATTGTCTAGAATCTAAACGTGATAATCTTTCATTGTCTACAGTCAAAACGTGATAATCTTTCACTATCTACAATCTAAACGTGATAATCTTTCACTATCTACAATCTAAACGTGATAATCTTTCACTATCTACAATCTAAACGTGATAATCGGTCACTATTTACAATCAAAAGAAATAACTTTTTGATAACAAAACTAAAGTTAAAATAATCATTAGTTAAGTTTTCAAGAATAAATATCTTTACTTGTCATCATGGTCAGTGCTTTCAGTAGAGTTTTTATGAACTTCTTCACTCTTAATAGACCTATTATCTAGAATCAAAATATGTGATTGAATATTAAGTGATATAACTAATTTCGAAACAAATCTTGTGTCCTGTATATCTAATTTCTGTTCATTTTTCTCTATATTATTTAGATTATTTATATATGGTAGAGATATAGAGAAAGGTGTATCAATTTATATTATTAGTTTTTTGGGGGTAGGATTATCTCCCTAAAGATAAAGGTAATTGATAAAGATTATAAATTTTGTTGTAGGATAAATTTTCTGAATCAAAAAAATATTGTTGAAATTTTTCAGAATTTGAAAATTGTTGTTGAGTTTTGAAAATATTTCTCAAGTTCGAATTTGTTTGCTTTATTTCTGAATTTTTAAATTATTTACATTTTGGTTCCTCTTATGACTTTTGTGGAGAGGATTAGAACTATTATCCTGAGTGGATTTGTACAAATTGGTTCTGGGTTAACCTAGGTAAACTTATCCTGAAAACACTTCAAAGAGCTATTGAGTTCATATCTTAGTATCAAACAATCTAATTGAAGCTCAAATTGAGTCGACCGACCGTAATAGATTCTTAGCTTTCAGAAACATTCAACAATAATTGAGCGTTCAAGTCAATAAATCCATAGATTCGTTTTGAATAACAATGGTTAATTCATTGGCAGCAATCTTAGAATTTGACTGAAGCTGAAGTTCGAGAAGCTGTGAAAATATCCACATACTCTCCACTTCTTCAAACAAAATTCATCCTAAAAAAAACAACTTTAAAAACAATCTGATACAGTCATTATGAATCTTCAAGGTTTATGAAAGTAAAATATTTCCAAGCACTATTATTAGTCACTTTATAGTAAATTATGATTTAGTATTGGCGAATTTCTTTGTATTTAAAGTTTGTCTAGTCTGATTACAGATCTCTTAATAATATCTGAATAATTCCAATATCTTATTTTATCAAGATCTCTAAATATCAGACACACTGTTTGATTTTATATTGATCATAATCAAGTAAGAAATTATAAATGTAATATATTGCATATTATATATTCTAGATATTTTCCTAGATCTTAACTTTACTATATTTTGTTTCAAGCTTAAATTTATTATATTTCTATTATAACATGCTGTTTCTTGGACAATAAAAGGTTTGGCTTCAACATGTCCTTTTTTTTAATGTTGGGATACAAACTGTTTTAAATTATGTGGTTCTTTTTCTGAACAGGGTTAAGAAGTCTTGGAATGAATATCATAAGTAGAAAACTTGTGGGTACGTTTCAATTCTAAGATTGATTAAATATCTAATTTGTGTTGGTATGTCCTAACTTAACATACTAACTTGAAAATTCAACATACTAACTTGAAAATTCAACATACTAACTTGAAAATTAAAAAAAAAAAAAATGAATGGCCCTAATAGGTTTCCGTACATAATACCTTGAAAATAACATTGATGTCAATATAGAACACTATCAAACTTTAAATTTGACTTTGTTGATATAAATATGATATTAGACAATATTTATAATATCTCATATAATTTACACAAATATAAAACAAACAGTAGCAAAAACAGTTTCATAAATTATCTCAAAAAGCAACATAATATAATTCATATTAAATTCTATATAAAATATGTCAAAATAATTAAGCAGTTAAAATTCATTGTTTAATTCTGTTAAAAACATGAAATATTTTTTTTAGCTAACATGACTGGTGTTGTAAGAAATTACTTATTCTTATATCAGTCATACTCGAATTTCTGACATAGAATATTCATAGAAATTATTAAATAGCGATGCAATGTACTTACCTGCATCAAATACAAAAAAAAAACACATCTAATATCATAATTAAAAATATATTAGAGTGAAAAATATTCAAGTTTTTTTTATCTCAGTATTATTTTGTCACTTCATAGTAATCCACATTATAAAATCTTTTTTATCTGGAGTAAGAAGTTAGTCTTACATTGACAGGAATATTGAGATAATCTATGTACATATAATTACCTATTTCATCCAACATTTTTTAATTAGCACAATTTCTCTCATAAAATAACCTCTATACCTATTAGATATTTTAAATCACATCAGTTCAGTTAAACTAAGATTGCTTTGTAATCCAGATAATAGCAATCAACTTGTACAGAGAATGTGTTTAAAATGTGAAATTTCAGGTTGTATTATAGTTTATCTATCATCTCTTATAAACTCATTAGCACTTTAAACAAAATATTACAAAAATTAGAATAAATTAGCATAAATTATGAATGCAATTATCATAAGGTAATGTAATACTATGGACAATGATAATTAGTTTGCATGATACAACTTATATGTTAATTTATGTACATAAGAATAATATTATGTGGTTTTGATTTTTTGACACTAATAACATCCATTCACTAATATAATTAGTTTACATGGTGAATATCTAAAATAATACAAAACATACAATAACAAGCATCACAACCATATAGCTTGTCCACAGTTCATTATGTCTAAAACACTTATTGGATATTTTATTAGAACCCAAGAAATACATCAGAGTGATTGATCAATAAAATCAGATTTAACTCTCATTATGTTCTCACATTCAATTTTATACTGGAATAGACCCATCTTTTATCAATGTTAGGAAAATTAATCTGATTAAAAAATTAGAAACTTTCTTTATTACACAGACTAAGAAATCCTAGAAATCCTTGTCTTTGAGTAAAATGACTGCTTTTGAAATGAAAATTAAGTTGATTAAGAATCAATATATTTAAAGACTAAAAACCATTTAAATTCAAAAACATTAATAATTAAATAAACAATATAACATTTTAGTAGTTTAACCTTCAGATATAAAAATATCATATTATATAATTTATTTATTTCTGTTTATTTCTAGTAATAATACTGGCAAATTAATTCTTAAAGCAAAATCGAGACATATACTATATATATATATAAACAGATTTATTACAGAATCATCACGTAGAATCTTTCGAGTGAGATAACTCCACTGTTTTTGAATTGTCAACAGATTTTTTTCGTGTTTTCTCTGTTTTTTTACTGGACGTTTTAGTGTTTCCGGCACTGTTATCAGTAATGTCTTCACTGTGATCAGACTTCACATTCTTACTGATAGTTTGATCAGAACAGTTAGTTTTAACACTTCCTGATATATTGTCTGTAGATATATCACTATTATTATTATTATTATTATTATATGTGTCACTACTAGCACCTCCACTACTTGCACTACTTGTAGATTGTGATGAAAATCTTTGTGTGATATCTGGAAGTTCTGCTTTGACAACTTTTTCCAAGATACTGTACCATCTGAAATAGAAAAAATAAAAATCACACTTTATACTCTTCCCTCTTCTTTTAGTATTTATTGATCTAATGAATATTCATCAATTTATTATATCATTAAAACACAATATCTGTACAATACCTGTCATGACCGTGTTAATACATCAATTCCTCAATGACTACAGAGTAGTCCACCATCAAATTTTTTAATATCATTCTAAAAGGGTCAGATAAATTAGAGGGCTTCAATCCTGCATTTCATTTATTTTGAAAAGTATTTTTTCAATATATTATATGTTTACAATAAAATCATGCATATTTCCATGCCCAAATGATAGCAGTTAAATTTTTTCCAGTAAAAATAAGAGATTGAAACTTACTTTTTGGTATGTAATTTATGATCAGCTTCAAAATAATAATTTTTCTTCAATGATTTGTTAGAAATTTTAAATATATTGCTTTTATCATGAAGATTTTTCACCATTTCAACTTGGTAACCAGGTAATGCCAATGCTGTTAAGGCACTATAATCCTGAAAACATTAGATTTACTTTAAAATTATGGGAGTTTATTTTCATGAAATTTTATAACTAAAGTATTTATATAACTTTATCACAAGAAAACTGAAATCAGAAACAATGATTGAAACAAAACATTGAAAATATTGAAAATAATGAAAATATTGAAAACATTTTTGAGAATCAAAGGGTTAAATGATAAAGTGATAAACAGGTTTACCTGATCTGATTTAAAGGAATATAATACAAAAGTATCGTGAACAGCAAAATATCTTTTCATCCAACTCCTACCCTTATCAGCAGACATATTTAAATAGGAGGCAATTAGACTTGCATCACTGGCTTTAACCTGTAGGTAAAATACAACAAAACAATATAAATACATATTATAACAAATAAATACATGTTATACCAAATAAATACATGTTATAACAAATAAATACATGTTATAACAAATAAATACATATCATAACAAATAAATACATATTATAACAAATAAATACATATTATAACAAATAAATACATATTATAACAAATAAATACATATTATAACAAATAAATACATATTATAACAAATAAATACATGTTATACCAAATATATACATGTTATAACAAATAAATACATATCATAACAAATAAATACATATTATAACAAATAAATACATATTATAACAAATAAATACATATTATAACAAATAAATACATGTTATACCAAATAAATACATATTATAACAAATAAATACATGTTATAACAAATAAATACATATTATAACAAATAAATACATGTTATAACAAATAAGTACATATTATAACAAATAAATACATATTATAACAAATAAATACATGTTATAACAAATAAATACATATTATAACAAATAAATACATATGATAACAAATAAATACATATTATAACAAATAAATACATATTATAATACTTACATCTAGAATATTGTGTTTTTTCGGTGAGGAATCATTTGTGGGTGAATCTGGCGAATCCAATGTTTGGTGAACTATCAAATTATAACATTTCTGACAAACTTTTTCTATCTTATTATCGAGATATTCTAATGGTGCCTTTTTACAACATTTACTACAAATAACCTGTAACAGAGATTATAAACTGAACAGTAAAAACTAGACTGGAGCTTATCTCTTACTCTGTAACAGAGATTATAAACTGAACAGTAAAAACTAGACTGGAGCTTATCTCTTACTCTGTAACAGAGATTATAAACTGAACAGTAAAAACTAGACTGGAGCTTATCTCTTACTCTGTAACAGAGATTATAAACTGAACAGTAAAAACTAGACTGGAGCTTATCTCTTACTCTGTAACAGACATTATAAACTGAACAGTAAAAACTAGACTGGAGCTTATCTCTTACTCTGTAACAGAGATTATAAACTGAACAGTAAAAACTAGACTGGAGCTTATCTCTTACTCTGTAACAGAGATTATAAACTGAACAGTAAAAACTAGACTGCAGCTGATCTCTTACTCTCCTAACTTTACCACTAAAAAACTTACCCAACCACAGCCACGACAATGATGTCTACGTCGGAATGTTGTAAATGATGCATCACACCTCATACATATAGTAGCTGATTCATCTGGTATCCATCTTGGTGCTCTTTCACCTATATTACCTTCTGTTAACTATAATATAAACAAATACAATTTATAAATACAACTAATATCAATATCAATATAGTTAATATTTACTACCAACATGTTTCAATTACATAGTTTCAAGGTGTCTGGTTATTATGCCTTGAAATTACCGAATAGAAACATGTTTGTAGTAAATATTAACTATCTTAATGGTGTTATTGATCTACTTTAACTATATTCTACTTTTGTTAGACCTCTTAATGTAATTTTATATAAATATATATATATATATTCTAGAAGTTATTGTTTTAGGATATCCTCAATAATAGCTGATTGTGAGAATGATATTAACAGTCAGAAAGTGTACAGTCCATCTTTACTGAATTGTATGAGAACAGAATGTCAATATTGTATTCTAGAAAATGATTCAGATGGATGAATTGGTATGTATCAGGTGGTAAAACAAATATCATGTTGATTATTTTCATGTGACTTACCCCTGATTCTAGATTGGTAATAGATTGTTGTTTGTCTCGAATTCTTTTCTTCTTTTCTTTTAAATCATCTACTGCCTTCTTCAAAGACTGAAAATACATATTAAAATGCAGTCAACTAAAAACATTTCTTTTTCTATTCAATCAACCAAAGAATATCTCAACTAAATATCAGATAATATGCACAATTTTTACTGATTTTCCACCATGTTAGTTTTATATTAGCACAGTCGATTTTGGCCTTCACATCTGTAAAAAAAAATAGAGTTGAAAACAGACAAAAAAAAAACACTACTTACCGCATACCAGGTTACTTCCCCTTCTTGTGTTTGCCTGGTAAAATAAAACCAAGAAATAGTCAAAGTATCAATAAAAATATTTCATGTTTGACATGGAAAATATCATAAATGTGTTACTTTTGACATTTCAGGTTCTCTCAAATAATCACATGGTTTCATAAATTTTATATCATCTTTAGTCTAGTTATTTAACAATCTTAAACACTGTTTCGGCTTTAAAAATAAACCCTTTAAACAAGTTTCTTCCCTTGAAATAGTTATTATATAGTTATTATATAGTTATTATACTATATAGTTAATATATAGTTATTATATAGTTATTATATTATATAGTTATTAACTTATATATTTATTATATAGTTATTATATAGTTATTATATTATATAGTTATTATATAGTTATTATATATTATATAGTTATTATATAGTTATTATACTATATAGTTAATATATAGTTATTATATAGTTATTATATAGTTATTATATTATATAGTTATTATATTATATAGTTATTATATAGTTATCATATTATATAGTTATTATATAGTTATTATTTTATATAGTTATTATATAGTTATTATATAGTTATTATATTATATAGTTATTATATTATATAGTTATTATATAGTTATTATATTATATAGTTATCAATATTATAGTGAATTATTGACACCTGATGTCACTCTAATATGATAATTCACCTTGATCTTACAAGTACCATCGAATGAAAACCACAACTTTCAGTGTAGAGAATATACAAGCAGATATTCTTGGGTGTGATTCTATATTAAATTAATGATATAAATATACTTACTCATCTAAAATCTCTATTGTTTTCTGTTTACTTAGTAAATTAAATGTACCAGATATACTCAGATTATCACCATCTTTAGTCTAGAAATAAAAAACAGTTTATATCTTACTTTTTATGTTAATAAAGATTGGACACTCCATGCAGTGTGCAGTATTAAAAATGATATTAGACAGTGGACTGTCAGGGTATTTTTAATGTGGACATTCTATTTGATCATAGTCATCCTTCTCATAAAATTGGAGTATATATAAATATTATGAGTTTATCAAGTAGAGTTAATTAAATATTGTTATTACCTCCATGCTCTCTATATCCATCTGGGCTTTCACTTTATATGCTCCTAACATTGGTTCACTACATATTAATAATAAATCATTGAACTGAAAGTAGAAATATCATATATTAAGATGACATTCACCAATCCTCAACAGTTTGAGTTGAATTTGTTTGGGTAATGAATAATAATTGTTGTGTCTTTTTGGGTAAGATACTTTATTTCTGGTATTTAATAATGTAAGTAATAATATATATATATTGAATATTATATTAACACTAGGTTATGTAATGATATATTATATTATTAGTTTGATTCTTATCAATGTTTTTATTATCTTTATAGTAACACTTGTAGTTCAAAACACTTGATCACATGACAACCCTGACTAATTTTCTACAAACTATGGCTGCCATTTATTGCTGTGATAGAGTGCTAGCGATAATTTCATGGTAGACTGTTTGGTAATATAGTCCTTATCTTTATAAAATACAGTTATACTGTAACAAACAAATAGTAATATTAAACCGTTCAAAAGGTGTTCACAGCCATTTCTGAATGGACAAAGACTTGGACAATGGCTAAAAAAAAAAATACTTACTAAAAATAAATAACGTGAGAGCTTTTCTCCGCTTCTGGCCGCAATTTTGATAATTGGACCTTCTCGTATGAGCTCTCTAGTTGGTGAGATAAAATCTATATTTATACCACGTAAACTCTGATGTATTTCTAACAATTTGCGGAATTTTTCCTGAAAAGAAAATCTTAATTGAGCAAGACTTGACCAAGAATTATTATATTTTTCATAATTTAACTATCAACATTACATACATACATACATGGCCAAATTATTATTTTAGGATAGAAATTAAGATATTAAAATAGTAATTCAGGCTTGATTTAGTCTTACAGCCTTCTTCCCATAAGTAGGAATTACAGAACTTCATTTCTAGAAGCAAATATGATTTAAGAAGTTTAGAATGAGTGTTCTTACTATTTTTTTCATTGCTTCATTAGCATGACTTGCTGCTTTAGTGACAAGATCTAGGGCAGCTGAAAAAAAACCATTAATATTTCAATGTTATATTTGTTATACACAATTCATAAAGTCTGTCTTAAAATCTTAATAAATTTCATCGTATTTTTTTTTTATTAGAGTGATATTAACATTGAAAACATTATTCAATCTGATTTATTTTCCTACTCATTTTGTAACACAAATATAATAACTTGAGGATTTGAACTAACAGAAGGTCAAATATCTTGTCATTGAACTCTCCCAGAATAGCTATAACCATTAGCTGGATCCACTAAATCAACCAAGATCATCTTATTTATTCAATGTAACTACTGTTACTTGTCATGTAATACAACCTTGACATTGCAACTTTTATTTCAAATATATTTCACTTACCCTGAGCATCTTTTAAATCAGCAGAATTTTCAGGTAAATGTTTGATATAGTCTGTAATAATAAAGATAAAGATGTGATAAAGTTAAATGAACATATTAATAGCTAACATATTATACACAGATAGTTGGGTGTTTCATGAACACACAAGAATTAAACTACAAATTAATCATACTCTGCTTCTTGAAACGTAAAAACCAACTGTACAGAGAAACAGAGAGAGAGAGACAGAGAGACAGACAGAGAGACAGACAGAGAGAAAGAGAGAGAGACAGAGAGAGAGAGAGACAGACAGAGAGACAGAGAGAGAGAAACAGAGAGAGACAGAGACAGACAGAGACAGAAACAGAGAGAGACAGAGACAGACAGACAGACAGACAGAGACAGAGATAGAGACAGAGAAAAAGAGAGACAGAGAGAAAGAGAGAGAGACAGAGAGAGAGAGACAGACAGAGAGAAAGAGAGAGACAGAGACAGAGAGAGAGAAACAGAGACAGACAGACAGAGACAGAGAAACAGAGAGAGACAGAGACAGACAGACAGAGACAGAGAGAGAAACAGAGACAGAGAAACAGAGAGACAGAGAGAAAGAGAGAGAGAAAGAGAGAGAGACAGAGAGAGAGAGAGACAGACAGAGAGAAAGAGACAGAGACAGAGACAGAGAGACAGACAGAGACAGAGAAAGAGAAACAGAGAGAGACAGAGACAGAGAGACAGACAGACAGAGACAGAGAGAGAGAAACAGAGACAGAGAAACAGAGAGAAACAGAGAGAGACAGAGAGACAGCAGAGAGACAGAGACAGAGACATAGACAGACAGAGACAGACAGAAACAGACAGAGACAGAGAGACAGACAGGGAGAAACAAAGAGAGACACAGAGACAGACAGACAGACAGACAGAGAAACAGAGAGAGACAGAGAGAAACAGACAGAGACAGAGAGAGATAGACAGAGACAGCCAGAGAGAGAGACAGAGACAGAGTGACTGCAGAGACAGAGACAGATTCAGAGAGACAGACAGAGAGACAGACAGAGAGAAACAGAGAGAGACAGAGACAGAGAAACAGACAGACAGACAGAGAAAAACAGAGAGACAGAGAGAGAGACAGAGAGACAGCAGAGAGACAGTAAGACAGAGACAGAGACAGAGACAGAGACAGAGACAGAGACAGAGAGACAGACAGAAACAGAGAAACAGAGAAACAGAGAGAGACTAGATATTTATTTCAATCACTCATAATGAACGACTCAAAAGTTATCTGATCTAATACAAATGGTAAAATAATTTCATAGACTGGTTCTCAGTTTGAAAGGAACAAGGCCAAAAACTTTTTCTTCCATTAAGACTACACCTACACAGTCTCTAAAAACAAATTTCTTACCTTTGAGCAATAATTCATATCTTGGTACTCGTTGTATAGGTCCTAACATATGATGTTGTAAAGTTAAATTAGCACATTCTGGTAGTTTCTGAAATTTTGCAAACAGAAGAACTTACAAATGAAGTTAGTGGTTCTAAAAATAAATTTTTATTTGAAATCTGAATCAAGCAGCAGGGGTAGGGATAACGAAACACAATTTTATTTCTACTACTAATAATACTGTATCTAATGATGACAATGTGTAGCCAACACAAGGAGAGAGAAATGAACACCATACTTGTTATCATGAGACACATACTCTCGTCTTAAAACCTTCCAAATATGTCCAGAAGTTTTGTATTTACCTGAACTTCACGTATAATACTGGAAAACTTGGATGATTTCTGTAGCCAATAATTTATCAAGTTCATAGAATTATCAAAATTCTTCACATAATCTGTATACAGTTTTAAAAATGGAGCATTTCTTTTCATCAAATCACCTATTCTTGGATCATTTTCCCTACAATATTATAATTTTCATCATCAATATTATAATTTTCATCATCAATATTATAATTTTCATCATCAATATTATAATTTTCATCATCAATATTATAATTTTCATCATCAATATTTCTAACAAATCATAGCAGCAAATAAATGAAAGGTAATACCAGGTTAAAGGCAATGTATAGAAACTAATAATGGCTCTGATCCACATAAAAACACAGCTTTTTACAACCCCTTAAATCTTCTAATATCCATTCCCCAAAACAACTTACCATTTATCTATCCTCTCCTGTAACTGAGGTAATAAAAAATCATGATGGAATTGATAAATAGTTTTTATATTGGAAAACATTTGGTTGACAGCATCCTGTGGCATAAATGGAACATTTTGATTTTCTTGGACAACTTTAAAATGGAACACCTAAAAATAAAAATAAAACGTGTCTGTTGTGTATTTGACCATGAAGTGAATATGTTAAGCTAGGAAGTGTACAATATAGGAAATTATTCCAGACTAGCAACTATAACCTGTCTGTTCTGTATTTGACCATGAAGTGAATGTGTTAAGCTAGGAAGTGTACAATATAGGAAATTATACCAGACTAGCAACTATAACCTGTCTGTTCTGTATTTGACCATGAAGTGAATATGTTAAGCTTGGAAGTGTACAATATAGGAAATTATACCAGACTAGCAACTATAACCTGTCTGTTCTGTATTCTTATTATCTAGAGCATATATACTTCTCTTCTGTCTATTAACCTCACTGATCCTAGACACTAGAATTGGAGATTGAAATCTGAACTATCTTACAGACAAATCTGGAATATTTTCTTGGACTTCAGAATACAGATTGCTTTTATGTAGTATGGCTTACAACACCTTGAACTTACTTGATCAAGAAGGTGAAGTCTTTCAACATATGATTTCTCTGTCTTATATAATTCTTCTGCTATACATTGTAGTTTATCTTTAGGTTGTATTTCACACAGTGATTCCAACTGAAACAAATATAAATAATAAACTGAATTACTAATGATAACATCTAGGTTAGGTATACTGTTCACCCTTACCTCCATCAAGCTGTTCACTCTTACCTCCCTCTAGCTGTTCACCCTTACCTCCCTCTAGCTGTTCACCCTTACCTCCATCAAGCTGTTCACCCTTACCTCCATCAAGCATGTATTTTTTAACAAATGTTTGTAGCTTTTCCATTTACCAAATAAGGTAGATTTAATATTCAACAAAAATAGTATTTTCTATAATTACCTTCAGATTAAAAACTCAAATATATTTCCAATGGGAAACTGAATCTTATAAAGAAAGTATTCTTGGTTCAACTCAGACAATATAAACTTACCTTGTCTTCTTGAACTTCCGACAATTTTTCTTCCAAAACATCACTATCACTGTCATCATCAAATTCACTTTCGTCTGAATCAGACCAACTTTCATCAAATAACTCTGCTGGACTCATTGGTTGACTTGCTAAACTTTCAGATCTTTGTAAAATAGCTGTTACAGCTGTAGCTTTAATATCAATGTTTTCAGGTTTCTGTTTTTTCACACGAGCTGATTTACTGGGTTCAGTGTCGTCTGAATGATCTACACTATTTTTCCGAGAACTATTTTTCTTTTTCTTGTGAAAACTTTGGGACATTTTATCACTCTTTTCATTGTTAAGTTTCACATTGAGCGCTTTAAGATCAATATCAGATTTAGATTGAGTAAGATTTGCCTGTACCACTTCCTTCAATTCACTTTCAGACACTTCACAACCTAAAGACAATAATTGTTCTTTACTTTCAGGAGACAACTCATGATGAAGTCCATTAATTTGTTCCACTAAAGCCCGAACATATCCTTTTGATAAAACATTTTCTGTGAACTCATCATCTTTTTGACTGAAGTATGTTTTAAGCCAACTTTCTGTCCGTTCTAAAACTTGTTTTTGTTTGACTCCGTTTGATGAACTTGGAGAACTAGGTGTTGAATGTGAGGCTCCAGTTTCATGAAATGGAAATTTACTTCCTTTTCTGCTGAGTTCTGGACTTGCTTCAGATTCAGATAGTTTGGAATAATCATGTAAACGCTGTTTAACTAAACCTGATATCACTGGGGACGTTGGTGTGGACCAAACTTTAGATGATTTAGAGGGGGAACTTAATGAACCTGTAGCTGTCTGATATACTTCTGTATCAGATTTATCATTCAAATCTGAATCACTTTCAATATTTATAGTACTTTCACCAGCAGACAGAAAATAGTCTGAGTTGGAAACATCTGATTCAGAGAACCTTTCTCCTTCACCACTGTCTATATCATCACTAAATTCAGCATTCTGGTTCACCACACCACTTTTATTGGATTTTGATTTGGTTTTCTGACGAACTCCAGTTATAATACGATTAATAAACTTGGGTTTGCTTGGAGCTGAAATATATCAATAAATATAACATGAGTTATAACTGAAAATATAACAAATTTCTTAATATCATCTATTATGTTAGTCCATATTCTCTTTACATACAAATATCGTAGTCAACCTAAATTCAATCTTAATAGTTAATACACTATCAGAGTTTATAATAATATTTATCAAAGATAATTATTTATATAGGCATTATAACAATATTTAGATATTAAAATTCCATTCTTAAAACTGATATATAATTATTGTAACATTAAACAAGCAGTAACAAAGAAATTTAAATCATTATAATCATAGACTAATATCAACTCTGCTATATTTCATTATAATCATAGACTAATATCAACTCTGCTATATTTCATTATAATCATAGACTAATATCAACTCTGCTATATTTCATTATAATCATAGACTAATATCAACTCTGCTATATTTCATTATAATCATAGACTAATATCAACTCTGCTATATTTCAAACTACAACTGATCAATATGAATATGTCTGAATCAACTTTCATTCTGTATGACAATAATCATACCAGAAAATTCAATGAATATCATTAGAATAGGAACTAGTGAATCATCAAATAATAATGACCAGAATAAAACCAGAGAATATGAGCTTCTATCCTGAATCATCATGACACATCACAGTTGTACAACTAGCAGCCTAGCATAACAAATAGAGAATTGAAATTCAGATTTTAGCTAGTCTTCCAACTTTATTATGCCATGAAGTGTGCCATGTAAATAGAACTGCCTCAAAACTCTTCCAATCAAGAATTTTTTTTTGATCAAGATCGATATGCCTAGGTTGATTGTTTCAGATAGATTCAGATAACAACTGTGGAGAATTTTGTACCATATTGTCATAAATTTGATATATTTAAATATAATCTGCCCTGATGATATCTTGTTCACTAGATAATAGATAAGTTTGAACTATATATTATATTATTACAACTCTTCTAGTTATTTCTCAATGGTGTGTGAAATCAACATAAACATGGTTGGTATAAAATGCCCACAGAGAAACAATTTCAAGGTAAATTCGGGAATGAAGATATTAATATTTAAGATTGATGTACATTAGCTGTTGTATACAAATACATTGCAGCAAGAAAACTCTAATGTGGCATATTTTCTCTCTCTAACCACTCCTAAGATTTTACTATTACACCAACCCCAAGTTGACCAGTGGTCAGCTTAGTAGAGATAAATACTGTTGATATCTGTCTACTATCTTGATTGTTAATTGTAGCACAGATAAAATATTACTTATAGTCTTAAATTATCTATTTTAACAGTAGGCTACTCAGAGTTTCATGTTTTGAAATGTGAAATATTTTGACCTGTCTATTGTAGTTTGACAAGTATTTTGGAGAAAAGCTTGGATTATTGTGAAACAAAAAATATAATTCGTCATTTTTTTCTTATGCAGTCATGCATTTCTTATCAAGAACAGACCAATATATTTTCTTGTTTTACCAAATGTTTCTGTACGTAAGAAAGAATAAAAACTATTGGACAAAATTCCCACCTGAAAACTTTCAAAATTTATTTACTAGTATGATGAAAGTTACAATTTTGAACATCTTAGTTTTGCACTGAAAGGGGGTTGGTAAGTGCCATTTGATTCTATGGAGGTAGTGATATTTCAACTATCATATGTAACAAGAATGCCGATTGGTTAAATGGTGACATGTGATCTGTAAAGGGAGGTTATTAATGATTAGAAACAGTTAGATGTGATTAATATTGTACAATGTTGCTACAGAACATGATTGTGTACATAGAAAACCATCATCTTATAATCTAATTTATATTAAACAACCAAGTAAAGCTTGTATCTGCTGGTGCAGGAATATATTGGCTCTTGTTATAATACAATGTCCAGAAATTTCTTCAGTCAAAAAGTGAATTACAACTCACCCTATCTTCTGCAAATTTCCACAAAACTCTATAGTATTTTACTAAATCACAAATTGTATATTATATATTATCTAACATTCATCCAAGCAACAAATAATATATTAGCATTTCAAAAACATCTCACTTCAAATTGTTTCCTTGCTATTGTACCTGAATCCTTGCATAATCAAATCTTCTATTGATGTTTCTCAAAGAAACTGACGGAAGATTAGGTAGGTCACAGATTAGGTAGGTCACGTTCAATTCAACCAAACAAATTATTCTGAGTCACTTTCATAATCTATTGTTTAAAGTGACATTCTGCTTTTTTGTAAAATGTTTTCATAACCAAAAACCTCGTAAATTATACCAGAAAATATTTCTAAAATATGCTATTTATATCTATATATCTTCTCGTTCAAACTGAATTTGTTTGAAATGTTTGAAGATGTTATTAACAATTACAAGGAAGTTGGTGAGGCTAAAATTATAGGTCACAATATACATCTTACCTTATACGTTCTAAATTAGGAGAAATTATTATCATCAAAGATCTTTTGAAATGTGAATAGACAGTGAATTAATATCAATAATATTAGTCATTTATATTTTTTACTTCCTGTTTGAATGAGAACCAACCTGACTATCAAGTAACAAAAAAGTACCACATTTAAGCCCCTGATATTTTTTGACCATCATTAAAGATGCAATTAAGCAAGCAATTTAAAATGTTAGCTGAATACATGCCAGATTGTGATATCTGAGATAGAACGTTCACATGACAACTACTCATGAATCAATTTACCAGTTTCAGATCTTCAATTAACATTCCAGGTGTTTTGTATAGAACAATATACATGTAAAGGACCATATGACATGCTAGTGACTAAAACCCTAGTTTTCAACCCTTGTTTTTCCATTTCTTCTATTATCAACTTGATTGCATGAGAACAAACCCAACTGAAGAAGCTATATTAAAATTTAGTTGACTTACTATCTCCTGGTTCCTCCATTAGATAAGAAATATCATAAAC